CTCTCGGTTGCGCTTCACCGCATTTGCAGCGGCTCGATGCGGAGAATCACACCGGCAGCGTTAAAAATTCCTCTGTTCAATAATTATAAATGGCTCCCGATCCCCCGATTCGCGTCCTGCTCTTCGGTACTAATGAATTCGAAACCTGGTGCAGCGATTGTGAACATTCCTGCGAAATAGCCATTCACCTATCGGTAGCCAGAATGGATAATCACGCTTGAGCTCAGACATGAAGTTAACCTGTCTGATCGGAGCGGTCTTCGTTCGATTACGTAACTGTTTCGGAGGACTCGTCCGGACTGGCTTTCCCTTTTTCGGCTCGGTATCCATGTGAAGATCCGAGCCAGAGGTCCTCCTCAGTGGCTCAACCTTCGGACGAGAACCAGTGAAACATCCGTTAAAGACAATGATGACGAAGTTTTCGGCGATCGGGAGAACGGCGACCGACGTCGATCATTTGAGAATAGGTCGGTCGTCGAGAGGCCAGAGCGTTCCTAGAAACTATGCTGGCTACTAGGGCAGCGATCATGGATCATTGATTAGATTGTTCGGTGTCCAAGAACCACTATTACGCGGCGTGAAAGCGAGAGGCCCCGATGGGGTGCATCGGCGAGCTATCGGACCGACCGACAACCAAGCAGTCACTGAACGAGCGAGCGAGCGAGCGAGTGCGTCAGGTAGGTAGGCAGCCAGGCACCTGCATATCGGTCCGAGCGAGCAATGGAACAGGCTCTAGCACCAACCAAAATGATTCAGGCAGCGAGCAAGCCTGTTATTGATGACCCTGACGTTTGGTTGTCCGATCGACCGTCCGCCCGCCCGCTCGCTCGCTTGGCCTAACTGACTGTTTGCCTGCCCGTTTGACAGCGAGCGAGCGGCCGGAGAGCCAGCAGCCGACTGGACATCGCGTAATGGAGGCAACATTCTTGTCTTGATTGCCACCTGCTCGTCAAAAAGAGAGCGGCCGGCGGAGGCAACCGGACGGCAAGCGAACACATCGAATTCTGTCCGCGCGAAGAGGCCGTCGCTGTTTTGCTGCTGCTGCTGCCACCACCACCACCGCCGCTTCTTACTCAACAGAAACCAGCGGAGGCTTGACTAGGTAAACGACATAAATTTTCTCGGCTCTTTCCTCTCCTTTGCGGCTCTTCGCGCCTCCACGGAGGAGGTAGCCGACGGAGCCGAACGTTTCCCGGTCTTAAGACCACGACTTCGACCGTACGTCGTGCTCGTGTCATACACTACCGAACACCATTGAACTAATGTCATCAGACGCACGATCGAAAACAAAAATTTGCGCCGACAAAGGTACGATCAGAAATCCGTCGAAACCTCACTCCCGACAATCATCACGAGGAACGAGCGGGAACGCTGACTGAAAATGAGAACTCGGGTAATATCGTTGCGGCGGGGACGAAGCGGCGGAGTGCGATGGTCAGCAATGTCAGTCGAAGAAGTCTGACAGAACGACGCATCGCGTTTACCGAACGGAGGGTCTCCGTCGAGTCTGAGGCCTCAGCGAGGCCAAATCACACGCTCCTTCAGAGCACACCTGCCGGTCGTGTCGTCGTTGCTTCCGAGGAAGGATGCGACGCTAACGCCGGAGACGCGACAGTTTTGACGCGACGCTCATAAAAAGTCGGAGAATCCAGACCCGAGCTGCACTTAGGTAGCTGGACGGACGGCGCTCCTTCGGTTCCTCTCGACCCGGAGACTCGATGATTTCAGCTTCTTGAGCTACCGGTCGTGGATTATGGTGGTACCTCATCTGGTCTTCTGCCGAAGTTGACGAAGACCGGGTTTGCAACCCCCCGAAAGTCACCGTCACCATGACGAACGACTTCGACACTGAGTGTTTGAGCTCAGCTGTTTAGCTCCGGCTCGCACTGCAGCTACTCTCCAGCGCGTTTTGAGAGGAAGTCAACGAGCCGACTGGAAGGGACTCATGTTTCGAGGAAATTGTTCCGTAGAGTCTCGCGGCGGGCTCCCTCCTGTCAGACATCCGCGAGGAGCAGGAGCTGACGAGGCTTGTACCCTGGCCGTTCTAATCTGAATGACGGTAAGCAAGTCATTTAAATTCGCTCTCGTCATCTCGCTTCGGTTTTTGCCTTCTTGCCTGTTGGCTCGCTCCAACAGGGGGCCACTAGAAGATGAGATCCAGGCGGCGAGCGCCCGAGCAAGGGAACAAGAGAACAGGTAGACAGAAGAAATCGTACGGACAGACGAACGGACAAGCAACTGGGAGTGGCCTCGAAAGAACACCCGGAGCAGAAAAAGTAGAAGCCCAAGGGAGAAGAAGAAGCAGCAACAGCCGGAGAGAAACGAAGTTTCGCTCCTCTGTCAGAAGGGAAGCTTTCGAAAGATGCCCTGCCCGTTTATCGCCGCTATTTATTCGATGGCTTGCTTACCATTTTCGAAGTTCCTCTCGGTGCTCCCTGATTGCGCCGACACCGCACATCGAGGGCACGGTCTGCGTTCCGAACCATGAGCCGCCTGGGTCTACGTTCGGCCGTGTCGCTCGACAGTGGGTCTCCAGCTCTTCCGTATCGACAGCGATGTCATATTCTCCATTAAAATCGGTTCAGCAACCTGCTGCTGTCCAGGTCATTACCGTTTTTCAGTCTTCGACTCTATTAAATCTTTCGGATTCGTACTGTTATCAATCGGACGTAACGCCAGTCCGAGCACCCGCGACAGAGACGGCGACGTCTGGAGAACAGAAGACCAGTTTGAGATGGCGAGCGATCCCTCTGTCGAGATACATAGAAGTGGACGCCGACGAAATGACCAACAAACAGGTTTTCCTTTTCATTGGATGTACGGCCACCGGCTCCGGCAGCCGAAATAGCACCACCGCTACCAAGAGGGACGAAAGACGAAGACGACGACGAAGAATGTTTTTCCACCTGATGTACGGCAGCACTGAAGCCATTCTTGTTGTTAAGGTGCTGCCACTGTGTTTTGTATACGCTGCCTGCCTCCCGCTGCTGTTGGTTCTCCGCCCGTTGTTGCGGTCGGTGCCGAAGCTCTCGCCGCTAATATTGTTGTCGTAGTCTTTCGTAATTCGAATTCACCGTGGTCACGAGAAGAGGGAAATCGATTCTGACATCGGGTCGGGAACCTCCGGTCGGGCCCATCGAAATGCCACCGATCGTTTTCGGAGGTTCCGTCTCCTGGAAGGTCGGTCGGCGTTTCCGAGGACGTGCAATGCTCCGTAGGTCCTCGGTGCCGAAGTGTGCGGTCGAGGAGGAGGGAGGAAACGACTCGGGGAAGAACAGGTGGCTCCAAATCGAAAATCAAGAAACGGGATCCTTGAGAGAAAAAAGTAATAAGCTCGCCGAAGAGACTAAGCTGCAGTTGTCGCCAATAGCAAAGTCGACGAGCCGGTCGTCGTCTCTTGCCGTCGCTGCTGCCGTCGCGTTATTTGATGTCGGTGCCCCAAACATCGCGCGCATGGAGGCCTCAAAGCAACATAAAAGAAGAAGATGAGGAGGCGAAGAAGACTCGACGACGATGGCGCTCCTACCGCTATTCCTCCTCCTGCTGCTGCCGCCGCCGCCGCTTCTTCATTTTCTGCCGCTGCTTCTGCTGCTCAAAATGCTCCTGCAGCCGTCCACTCATCTAGCCTACCGATCGCTTGTCGCATCGCTCACCACCGCCGCGACAGACTGCGCGGCGTTTTTCTTTCTCTTCGTCGCTACTAGCCCAACTGAGTCTGAGCGACGAATCCGGCAGCGTCGGAGAGAACGTCATTCGAAAGACGGGGGCTCGAACAACGGAGCCTCGATCAGCTGTGGGAAATATCTGAGCGCTGTCCGGGGAATGATCTCGGGTCGAATCTCCCGTCACGTTCGTCTTAATCTTACGTCGGCGACTGATTTCGCGCACCCCGGTACGTCACTCGGATCTCTAACGTGTCCATGCTCCGCAGTGAAAATCGTTCTCGACTCCGCTGAAGAAAAAAGAGTGCTAGGGAAGAAATAATGAGACAAAGTGTTGATGAGAAGTTTTCGAAAAAAGACTTCGGTCAACTCTTGAGACTCGTTAATCATCAGATTTTCCGCTGTCTCTCTCATTTCTCGGTCAGTCGAGCGAGCGAACGAACGAGCGAGCTAGCGGTCGAACGCGCTGTCGGTTCATCCAATCGACACACGGGCGTTCAGACGTTCTGTTCGAATCTGCTTCGTTTTGCCTATTATCGCGCATCATCCAGCTTTCCGATCCTGGTGATTTTACTTCTAGGCGCCAGGCAAATAAATGAATGGTTTAATGAAAGAGCGGACCACGTGGAATACGAAGGAGATTTCGAACGAAATTCCGTCCGGACTTCCGAATGGAGCTCCGAGGAAACCGCTGACGTGGAGATCGCGGTCAAGCGATGGGTCAGTCAGCCGCGGCGCAGTGCGGCTTCTCCGACATTAATTTCTGAAAGGATAGCTCGATGCCGATCATTTGAGCTCGGAATTCGCTCCGCTCGATTCGGTTCCAATCACGGTGTCCGTAAGCCGCGATGTGAACCACCCCTCAAATTCGACAACAAGTTGGGGAAAGCGGCGAGCCACCCTCGTAAAGTCACTTAATCGCATGCTCCAGAAGGAGAGGCTTCTTTCCCCGCGGAGATTAGCGGGTCGTTTCATTCCGAAGCGAGAGGTCAGATTTCACCTGGGAGCTCCTCTGTCAACGACTTATCGAATCCTTTCGGTCCGAACAGGGCAAGCGAGGGTTCTCATTATGGACCTTTATCTCCTCGGGTCGTTCATAGTTCACAGTCCACTCGAGCTGATCTTTGGAATGTTTCTGCTGCTTTTCGAGGTTTGAGAGGGTCAACGTTCTCCGCCTTTTCACTTTTGGTCTCGCGAGCGTTTCCTCCGAGGACCGGGGGAGAAACTGGAGGTGGAGTCGAGCTCGCTTCAAACAGAGTGCATTCGTCTTCGAACAGACTGCGGGCAGAAGACCGTCGTCTAAAGACGTCCGTTTTCTTTTGCAGCGTCTGAATCACCATGATGATGGAACAGACTTCGCTGCCGTTCCAGTCAAGCTCGTTCTACCCGAGTCCTTCGTGGTCTCCGCCATCGAGTGAAGCAACGTTCGGCATGGTGTCGAACTATATCAAGAGCGAGCCGCTCTCACCGGAACAGACGCTCATGACGAACATGAGCCCCCGGGTTCAGAACACCCCGTGTTCCTTGACGCCTCCGCCGACCAACTACCCGAGCTCACAGTACGCACCGCTGACCCCACCGTACAGGTTGGTTTTCTGGAATAATTCTGAATCGGAGTCAGGATTCTCGTCTGGGAGAACTCTTCCATAGAGGACGGGAGTCCTGATATTTTGCCGAGGGCTGCGAGTATCTCGCGCGATGGGCCAAATTATATTTTCATCGTGTCTGGCATCGATTTCTTCAATTCCAGATACGAGCAGAACAACAATTTCCCACAAAACAACAACAGCAACAACAACAACAACAGCAGCAGCTACTGGCAGACCAGCACACCTCCACCCTACGAGGATTACTTTTCTGAGGCGCAGTACGCCGAGAGGGAGTACACCGACGCTCCGATTTCGGATAGAACGGGATGCCTGGAGGAGCTGAACGACGAGGGAGCCCTCGAACAGCTGCGGGCGATCTGCCTTCAACAGGCGGCCATGGACGTCAAGTTGGCGTGCCACATGCTCAACATTTCACCAAGTGAGTTTCCTCTGCATAGAATGCCGTTTAGTCGTCGTTTTTCTTCGCGGTTCCCATACCGGGCAGGAATGGAAGTCGCACGGAATCCCTTCGGTCCGTTTTCCGGTTGAGCATTTCTGCGGTGCATCAGACATTCGAAAGTCTGTGCCGCTAATCTACATTCTCGTGCTTCCGACACCCATTCGGAAGCTTCTAGAGCAAAAATCAACTGTTGTCCGCATACATCACGTGCAGGGACCACGCATTGCCAAACCCAAGTAATGTCGGTCACTCGGACGTAATCAAAACGCGACTCCTACGATCGTAACTTTCACTTGTTCCGACTGATTCCCCGCTCACGGGGCGACCGTTCAATATACTACATACATACATACGAAGACCGGTCGCTGAGCCCGACCGACGTTCGCTCCCAACGTGCATTTTACGCCTAGCGGTGGTCAACGCTGTCTGGGAAGCGAGCCCACTCGCCGAACCGTGGGCTTCTGGTGCTTATGCGGCCGCTCTTACGGGACCGTATCGCGAATGTTCCGGCGGCCTACACGGTCATTTCTGGTTTTCGGTCGCGATGAATTTTTGATCAAATGCGCTTTCGAAAGTTCCGACTAGGAGAGAAGCGCACTCCGGCGGAAGTACCGTCCGCTTTCCATAATCTGGTCCTTGGGGGTTTCGTCGGTGGGCAAACGAAGTTCGGGAACTTGAAGTTCGGCGACGGTATTTTTTCAATGTCGCCCCGACAGAGACGGTGACGTCGGTGGAGGTGGTGTTTGTGCCGACGCGGGCATCGGCGAAATCGCTTAGTTGGGGATTTATTTCTGTTGAAGAAAAATCCTCCACTTGGAAATGAGTCTGAGTTATGGGAAACAATGAGGGGCTCCTTGGAGTTTTCGTCTCGTTTTTTAGTGAGCGCGCGGCTTTACGATCTGAAGCCTCGCTTTTTGGCTTCGGTGTCTTCCTCTGCTGAAAGTTTGTACGAGTCGGCTCATGCCGAAGCGGCGTGCCGCGGACACCGAAGGCGCAGCATATTTATGAGTTGAGAGATTATTCGCTTCCTCACAACGAGACGAAAATTTAGAGAAAAGAAATACCACCGATAAATGGTAAGCACAACGGACTCGCTGTTGTTTTTCTTTCGTTCTTGAACCTCCCCGTCGATTCGTTCCTTCAGCTCAAACGAACTCTCACGCAAACGAGAACCCACAAGTGGATTCACGCCCGGGCTGGGAAAATATTCGAGCGGAGGAATTTCGTCGGAGAAAGTTCCGCTCGCTCGATCGATGTGGACTTGTTCGGCAATAATTCTGTCGGACGAAGCCGATCAGGTCGGCGAGGTTTTCGCACAACATGATGCGGGGTCAATATTTGAAGAGCCGCATGGAATCGTCGAGGTTGGTAGCGTAACGGGAGAACAAATTAAGTTATTGTTCGTGAGCATCAGACGTGGCCGCCGCGGAAAAAAACAAGCCATCACCAAATGCTCACTGATTCCACTGTCAGGCTAAAGCGTGTGTGTTCCACCGGCAATTTGGCTTCAGGTCACGACTAGCTACCGATCCTGCTTTGCGCCTGTGTGCTCTCCCCCTCCGTGTGCTCTTGAGTTTGTTGGCAAATTAAGTTATTGTCGAACTGAGACGTTCTGTTGCCATTAGGCACAATCATGAAAGGTTATCGAATTCGCTGCAGGCCGTCCAAGCGTTGCCAACCTGGACCACCCCTTGAGCCGGACCGTGCTCCCCGAAAGATCGTTCGACATCGTCATCAGCTCGATGACGATGATGATGATGATTACTGTATTATCGCACCGTCATTCGTCGATTTCGAGCCGGATCACCGTAAAATTCAGGGCTTCCTTCTTCTATGTCTCCGTGTTGCATTCTTGTGGTCGGCGACATTTTTCGGTCGCCGAGCACCCCCCGACCGGCCGCCTGCCACGTATGTAGGTATTCAAAACCGGAGAAAACGAGGCTCACTCTCGCGCAGTGTTCAGAGCCAACCAACTGGGACCCTCTCAACGTTCGGGACACCTGCGCCGCCTATAGCAGCCTGAAAACGGCGTCAGGCGCACTGGTCACTTCCGTTGAGCCGGGTTTCGGCACCTGCAGGAAGAGGTGTTTTTAGCTCGATGAATTGGCAAGCTGACCTCGTAGCGGCGCGACATCCGCTCGACGATCGAGTCAACCGTCTAGTTCAACACGTCAACGATTGACTACCGCTCAGACAGAGAGAAAAAATGCAACCGTCAGTACTCTGACAGCCGGAACCTCATTGCCTCGTCGGAATGACGCACCAACGTGACGTACCGCAAGAATCCGCCACGCCATCAGGACGGCGGGACATGTCTCCTCGATTTTCCCGGCCTCGGGTGACACTCACCGACTTCTCGGCTCGAAACCCTAAGCCCAGTCGATGGTCTATGCGAGAGTAGTTGAAATCGGTGCATTTTTCGGAGACTCGAGCTCTGAACGAGAGTCTACCCAGCTAATTTCGATCATTCATGGGAACAAATTTGCCGAATCCCAGAATGAAGCAGCCGACGACGGTCCAGGTGCGGACCGAAAGCTTGTCGCTTTTTTTCCGTTTGGCCACCGTATCCTGCTAAACGGTCATTTACGGCATTTACATTTCGCATGGGCGGGCGGGTGACCGAGTGATGGCCGTCGAGTCAGTCTGAGAGAGAAGGAGTGAGCGATCCGCTACACTCAGAAACGCCGCTCGGTGGACGTGGAGTTGGGACCACGGCTCAGAGGAAGTGGCCGTCCCCGCACTTTCCGTGATGACCGTTTTGCGTTTGAGGCGCGGATTCGACTGAGGATTTCCTGAGGCACTGTCCAAGCCTCGGTCAGAATCCACTACAAGGAACTAACAAATTAGCATACATATGACCTGAAGCAGAACTCGAACTCGATGATGGCGTGGACAACACTACGTATGTATGTGTGTGCGGCATGTACTAGGAGTTGGAGAACTTGGGAACAATTTCTCAGGTCGGCGCAAAAGGCTCCCGTCGACACATCTCGTACAGTTGTGAATGGCGCCCGCTGCCGTCGATATTAATGGCTATCACAAATAAGTCATGATTTCCGTGACTCTCGAATAGAAGTAAACGGCTGGGCCGCAAACGGCTCCGTTGAAGACAGCTACCGCATGACACACAAGCATGCTCAAACAGACATCGTTCTCATGAGCGAGGTGAAATGCAAGATGGATCCAGTTCTGGCTCCGGCGGCGGTTTGGAACTCTGTCTCCTCGGCCTTTGGCAGAAGGCAAAGCGTAGCCGTTTCCTTTTTTTTGTTGCTGTTGGGGTTGAATGCTGTGTCGGGTAATTGCCTTAGGGGCCTCCTCTGTTGGCAGATGATCCAAATAGCGGAGAGTTCGCCATCTTTGAATTCCTTCGACTTCGGGGGCATCCGAACGAATCTTGACGGCTTCTTTGAGGCTCGGGTTATTTTCTGTCTCCGCCGCAGTCGTCGACGTTTTCAGAACTCGAAAAAAGAATTCATATGTGCATATCTCCCCGTGGTACGAAAATTAGACGGCTCGATATGTGTCCTGACAGTCGTTCCGGGAGGTAGAGGAATAGATTACGGATAGGAAGGAGTCACGGAATTCGTATCCAATCCACTGACCTAACATACGTCCTGAGCTCACGATGCTTATCATTTTGTGTACACACGCGTCCGTGTGTTTTCATTTATTCGCTGAGATTTTCGAGCGATTCGATAGTACCTAATTGTCGATAATAATCATCATGATCGATCCCGATGAGGGGGATCGATGCGGCCGAATGAGAGCTCTATCGAGCCCTTCAATTAGCTCATGACGCGGAATGCATGAATCAATGCTCAAGGTCACGTGATCTCAATATCGAATCGAACTCGTTCCAGATCCGTACTCGTGGGACATGCACGACGTGCAACGATGGATTCTGTGGCTAATCAAAGAGAAGAGACTCGAATGTTCCGCCGAGCAAATGCACTTGTTCTACAAGGTAGGTCGTGAGCGGCAGCTCTAAACTCCACGTAATACCAAAACATTATGCATGGGCTGATGCTAGCGAATCTGGATTCGAATGGATTCGAACGATATCCTCCCTCCGCCGCAGGTTTCCGGAGCTCAATTCGTCAGCTGGTGCGACAAAATGGTCAACAACCAGCAGTTATCCTCCGCTCAGCGAACTATGGTCGAGGCCATATCCGCTCACTTGGACATATGGAAATCCGCTGCTCAGGCAATGCAGAGCTCAAGACCCGAGATGGAAACCCCGGAGAACTTCAGTCAGCCTTCACCGCCTCGCTACGAAGACTCGTACAGTGACGGTAGGTTTCCGTACTGCATGTCGAGGAAATACCCGGTCTGCGAACGCGGACTCGAGGTACCCAGGTTCAGCTACGGAGTTCTCAGCTGTTTCGGTTTTTCTCAGATGATGATTCCTCTTCGGCCTCGCAAGGTTGCTCGACGCAGCACATCCACCTCTGGCAGTTCCTAAAGGAGTTGCTATCCGACGCGCAGCAGCATGGGGCTTGCATACGCTGGTTGGATCGCGGTCGGTATTTAGGGTTTCCTGAGATTTAATTCTTTGCTTCTGAAAGCCATCGCGATACCCGTCGGATCACTTGGCGAACATAACCATCTCATGTCTAGTACGGAGAAGTCCGAGTCGGCTACGGGTTATCTAAAGCGCCGCGTTTTATTTCCGCAGGGATTTTCAAAATCGAAGATTCTGTTCGAGTTGCTAAACTCTGGGGACGACGCAAGAACCGTCCCGCAATGAACTACGACAAGTTGTCTCGTTCGATTCGGCAGTACTACCGCAAGGGTGAGTAAATCGTGAACTCTCCCCTACCACCACAACTTTTCTCTCGGGGTCCTCGAGAATTGCCACGAGGTCTCCGTTCGGTTTTCCGGAGGAATCTGATCTATGACTCGATTTTCCATCGTTCTGCGACAAGAACCCCAACTGATTCGTTCCTATTCTTCTCGCAGGAATCATGAAGAAGACCGAACGATCCCAGCGGCTTGTCTACCAGTTCTGTCCAGCTTACGCAAACTAGTTTTTTGTCCAGTCAGGACGAGCTGCTAGTTTCCGCTGGCTGGCCTTTTTTTAACGGACCCTGTAAGGACATCACGGAGAAACTCTGTAAATACGGGAGATGACCCACCTCGAATGGGTAGCTGAGCTGGTCTTAGCGTAGTTCCTCCGTTGGATGTCTGGGTTCCCCAAATGCCACACTGTACACCTGCTTTACCGGAGAACGGTGTTGTAACTGCTTCGCCATCCGTCTTTTCGCTTCGAGTTTCGCGATGTTGTCTGTGAAGAAAAATAATGTAACATCACCGTTCTCTCGAGGAGTAAACAGGTGTACCAGGTCACCACGGGACGTACCCGTAGTGATCGAAACCCGCTACCGCAAAAACGCAGAATTGCTTTCGGATCTCAGAAGTCTTATCATCAAAATCCATAAGTTATGATACTATTGAGCCTCTCGTAATCAATGCAACCGGTACCTGGACGTCGGCCGCGCTGGCAGGCCAGCCGCCGACTTCGCGAAAAGTTTTCGCGCGCGATCGGGCGCTCGGACGGGCATGTTGTCGTATCGCTAATCTCCGTATCACATTAATCGACGAAGAATCAGATCGGGAAGAGAGAGGAAATCGACAGAACTTGGAGGTCATGCCGATCTGTGAATAGTTTGTCCACAGTTTCGAGTCCGGCCTCCGAGTTTCTGCGAGCCCGATGAGAATGAGTCCGCTAGAACGATCCGGAGTGTTTATGTATTTAAAACGTATACCGTGAGTTCATAAAGAGCTTTGATGGATCCCGCAGAGCCTCAACCCGAGGGAGTACCTTACGGATTGGGTCTACGAGTCTTCAGTTATTTAAAGGAAAGTCTAATCCAGTAGGTATGCATCTTGAGTGAATAGATAGAGTCAATATTCGGGAGGCCGGTGCCGATATCACTCCTTTATGTGTAAGATCATCTTCGTTTGTATTATCGTCGACCGCGAGCCTCTTCGTGTAGCGTCGGGACTCCGAAGTCGCTTGACGGGATCGATGAATGACTGTGTAACTTTGAGGAGATTTGTAAATAAAGCCGTGATGCTTATTAGGAGAACATTTATTACTGTCAGATATCGATAATCATTCGGAAGAGACGAGTTGTTAAATGTGGACTGCAGATGTCCTATCATCAAGATAATAAAGAAGGATTCTTAAGAAAAATATTATGTCCGCCTTCTTAATGAGCTCGTCATCCATTTCGAAATGCGCTCCCGATCCGGAGAGCCGGAGCGATTCAGAGTATGAGCGTCCATGGAAAGGAATCGGCTCGGCATAGTTCCGCGAGACCGCCTGTTGCGTTCAGAATGAGGGAAATGAAACATATGTTTACGGCGATCGATACCCGTCTGTCCGCCCGAATGTCCATCATCAGTCGGATTCATATTACGCCAGAGGAAGATCCGGGAAAGTCCAGCGCGACTGTCACGAGACTGCATCCCGCACTGATCCACGGGGCACATTGAGAGAGAACTCGAACCATGAATCCTGAGAGTTTGAGCTCGCGATGGGCTTCACACCGGGTCGGGATCTCGCGCTGGAGCGGCTCGCGCGACTTCGTCAGTCGAAATATCAGAAACCTCACTCAAATGAAACTAGAGAACTTTAGTCAACTGAGCGGGAAAAAGCATGAGCGGTCGGTCCTCCGCGTGACCGTTGCAGTCGCTAAACAGAGCCGAGACACGCAGCCGCGGATCCGGCGTAGCTTACGAAGTCGGAAGCTGTCGACACCTAAGTGCTCGGAATAAAATGAGATTCCCGCCTTCGATTCCAGACGACGACGCGACGCTCCTGAATGCAAATGGAAACCGCTGCGAGCCGGATACTGTTTCTTTACCCCTCCCGGGCTGTATGTTTCTGCCATATTTTCTGCCGTAGCACGCAAACACCGAGCATTCCAGTTCCAATCGTAGCTCGCGGCAGGAAATCGATGCGTGTGCATTAGGAAGCGAGCATCAGAAGGTCCTCGGGAGAGCGAAATTCATTCGTTCCCGTCATCGTAGCTCGAACCACAAGGCTCACGAGACGTCGACCACAAGATGTGTCAAGGTGATGGTACCTACGTAATTAGATGAGCAATGAGAAACGGTAACCCGTGTGCCTACTTCATTTTTTCAATTATTGGTTGAATCCTTGCCCTCCCGTGTCCTGACATCGGCAACACGTTCGATTGCTTTCGAAACAGCATGAATAGACCTCGACGAGCGGGGGATTTGCACGCGGGAAGGAGCCTAATCCTCTCTCCTCAATCGTCAATGTGATGCAATGGTGCATTCGGAGTCGTCACGCTCTTGATTCTTAAATTGCACCGATTTGTTGAGATTCCGTTTTTTGTCTGCTAAGTGAGACGTAAGCTGGAGTGGTTTCTGAGAGAGAAGTTCCAGAACGTTTCGAACGACGCCCCAGGAAAATCCGAGACCTCATCAGTGTGCGCGTTCTACTTTCGACGAATAAATGTCAGACCCTGGCAGCGACGACAGATTGACTCGATTCGATGCTTGACACGTTCCGCGGCGGAAGGACGCTAATAACGAAGCATGCCTATTCACAACGTGTAAATCCTTATTGACAGAGCATCGACTCGAGCGACAGCGAGCAGGATGCAGGTGGGATGGTCCGGATGCGTACAAGATGTGAGATGAGAGCTCTCCTATTGCCTACCATTCGACGGGAGACGGGACGTCAATTGTGCACTCGTTTGGCCGCGACCCGCGCTGTCGCACGGACGTCCCTTTGGTAAATCCACCCGTCTTCGGTGTTTTCGCTCTCGATGAGCCGAAAACTTCCCGAAAGAGGAGAATTCACGCGCACAGAGCTCAGAAAAAAAGCTGCGGACGGCTTCCGCGGCATAAAATGGCCGCTTGTGAATATTCCGATGTGTCCTGGCGTGCCACAAGTAGACGGAAGGGGCTCCTCTCCCGGATCTCAATTTCACAGATGGTTCACCAGGGAAGATATCCGTCACTTCAAACAATGTGCGTATCTTCGTCGCGCGTGTCGCCGGTTACACGTTCGCGCACTCGTTCCTTCGCTGGTCTGCGGCAGGATGTCGAAGCCGGGATAAGGGATGTCGAAATTTCACTCAATATCCTGAGGCGTAGGGTGCATACAATTGGTGTTCAGCTTGGGTGACACTGGGGGAAGTTCGGTAAGCCGATTCGCGTTCGAGCTGATTTTTATCCCAGTTTGGGGAGGAGAGGGATCCTTTCTGAAATTGGCGTACGTCTGCCGACACGCCCTCCTCGTGCCGTGAAGCATCGGAGCCTCTCGGTGCGTTCGGCATGAGAAACCGCTATCGAAAACTTGGGAAGTCCACGGACCGGGGTTCGAGTCATCGTCGGTGGTGAGCCGATAAGGACGGGGGCACCGATTTCATGAAACTGTTTGGATCTCGATTGCTCGTTCCCGACGACTCTGTGCGCGGGCTCTGGCGACTTTCTTGCCCCGGGGCCTCTCTTCGAGCGAACGGGAACGCTCCTCTATCCGTGGACTATTCGACGTTCGTTGTCTGAGTGACGTCAAAGCGGAGATAATCTGCTTGCAGAGATTCGCCTCAAGCCGCAATCTTGTGCATGTCACTCTTAACCCTGAAATCGTTTCCATGGACGCTCTTGTCGCTACTAGTGACAGCCAGAGCAGAAACAACCAGAGCTCGAGGAAGGGCAGCAGGCACTTGACACAAATCCTAAACTTGAAGCCCCGTTGTGTACGCGAAGACGCTGGAACAAGAACAGATCTCGATCCCTGCTACATGGCGTGCGTGTCCGTTTTTATTAGAAACTCCCTTGTCGCTTATCCTTGGAAGCGTTCTAGGACCGGGATACACGTATGATGAGAGCCGGAAGGCCATGCAAGCAATAGCCCGGTTTCTTTGAGCTCGCTTGAATGTCCGCGAGGACGAGCATATCGTCTTAGGGCCCGAGCCGAAGGAAAACCATCGCCGATTCGGCGTCCCAAGAAATCTCAGATTCGGCGAAAATCAAGGAACGTTCCCCCCGGGAAACTTGACGGCCACCGCAAATACACTGAGTGTTTGTCGAACTTCCAATCTCCGTCCCGGTTGACTTGCCTCACGGAAATCTTGAGAAACTTCCGCGACGAGTGAGCAGTTTGCATATGTGTGCGTTCGCGTTTTGCACTTTCGCCATCCGCGGATCTCTCGACGGGTGCGCCAACGAGCAGCCGGCCAAGCGAGCGAGCTGGAGAGCTGGGAAGTGAGTAACGATTCCTCTCCCGCGAGGCAGGGTGAACGGAAAATGAGAAGGAAAAATCAAGGGTTTCCTACAAGCAAGAAATCATTCCTCTGCGACAGTAGCCGCGGCGTGCCGCCCGACTCTCGGCCGCTCGGGTGGATGCTCGCTGTATTAGTTCGGTGCCTTGCACTGTGTTCCTCGCAGCCCATTAGCATCCGATGAGATATCGATTTCTCCATCAACGAGACGGGGAGAGCACGAAATCTTGAGCTATCACGTCTCGACGCATCCCCGTTGAGAGTGATTCGGAGGTTTCAAATTGTAAATCGAGTCTGCGTCCATCCCGTTGAGGAGGGGCTGCATGATGGAATCGCGATGATAGACGATGGGAAAGATGTAAAGGGTATCTGATAAGATTTGAACCAATACGGGCTTGTCATGTGCCAGAACGCTTGTTTCAATGATTGCTCGCTTCAATAATTGCTCGTGTCTATAATTGCTCGTTTCAATGATGGTGGACGTTTCTCCTCGGAGGACCGACTCCGAAGTTGTTACCCTCCCGAAGGAAGGAGGTCGAAAGCAGTTATTCGCGAAACCGAGTCGATGATCTCGGTGATAAGTCGGGAGGAGCTCTGACAAATGGTTGACATTTTTCTCCGTCCTATCTCGGCTGAGTTCCATTCCAAACTTGGCCGGAGATATTAGGTCGTGGTTGCGGGTGAGCATGCGGCGCCGAAATCTATCAGATGTCGGTAGCGCAGCGTACGAGTGATGGCAAAAGTACTACCTACCAGATAGTAGA